TTAACCACTCTTTCGAACTCTTCTGGTGGAGGAAAAACAAATCGCTTAGCCTTAGTATTCGAACTAACTTTTTTAACTGTTGGCATAATACTATAAATTTTAACTCCCACTAATAATCCATAAGATCAACAAAAGAGCCAAAGCAATCCAAAACAATCCCCGATAAAAAGCTTCTTGTTTTTTATAATAATTCAAGGGCTTATTAGCTTGTTCTTGGGCCTTTCGGCTATATTCGTTCAATTTTGACGAGGCTTGATTTTCTAATTCTTCGGTTTTCTGAGCAATTGGATTTTTCACATACTCATCCCAAGTTTCTCAGGCTCAGTTTTTAACTGTATCTTTAATTCCCATTATTTTTTCCTTTCAACACCCAAACTCCTCCTAAAACTACCACCAAAATAGTTCCTAGCATTCAAGGACTTATAGGTTCATTTTTATTTAAACTAGGCTTAACTGGTTCCGGCTCACTTTTAGGCTTTTTCAGAGCCTTTTGATATTCTCCCTTTCAAAACTCTACTGATTTATTTACTTTGGCTAACCGTTGGCTAATTTCGGCTTTTTCTTTATTTAATTCTTGTTCAGACTTTTGGGCAAGGGCTAACTGTTTTTTTAAATTGGTTATTTCTAGGCTAGTAATATCGGTTTGGTTGGCTTGGTTTTGAGTAGACTTATTTAGTTTTTCTTGGGCATGGATTAATTCTTGGTTTTTTTCTTTAATTTTTTTTTCTAAGTTAGCAATCTGGGCTTGGGCTTTTTGCGTTGCTTCTGTGCTTTCTTTCTGGGCTTGGGTTAACTGTTGCTTATTTTTGCTTAAATCACTTTGAACTTGGGTCAATTGACTGTTTAAATTTTGACTATCCTCTCGAACCTGAGCCAATTCAATTTGTTTCTCTTCTAACTGGCCGGCTAAATCGGCTAATAGTTCTTTTCCTTGGGCTTTGGTTTTGATTTTTTGTTTAGCCAAATTAATTAGTTGAGTTTCTAAATCAGCTATTTTTTGTTTAGCTAGGTTAATATTCTTTTGGGCTACCGTTCTAGTCTTTTCAGTTTTAGTTTGAGCCTTATTCAAAGCCTGTTCTAGTTCGCTACTTCTACTAGTCAAGTTGTTTAGGTTTTTCTCTAATTCAGTTTTAAATCTCTTAAACTCAATTGGCTCAGTATAATGTTCGGCTTGTGGGTCAATAAGAATGTTTAGCTCTTTTAGTTGCTGATTAAAAGTTTGTTCAAGGGAGTTTATTTCAGTTTGCTTCTGGGCGATAGAGGTTTGCAATTCTGTTTGAATTTCGTTTAATTGGCTAATTTCTTGCTCTCTTTCCGTTAAATTTAACAGTAATCTAATCTTTTCTTTACTTAAACCTAAGCTTTCTTGCTCTTTTTCTTCTAAAAACTGGTTAGTTTCTGCTAAATTTTGCTTTAAACCATTAAACTCAGTTAATTGGGCTTGAATTTGCTGAGTTAATTCGGCTTTCTCTCCGCCTAATTTAGTGGTTAGTGCTTCCTGATAATTTAATTCTTGTTTGTATTCCTGAATCTGCTTTGAAACTTGCCGATGATGCGATCGTAATTCTTGTAAATTTTGTTGATTTTGGCTTGCTTCTTTTTGGAGTTGCGATTTTAAAGAATTAACTTGCTGAGCGATAGTTTGACTAATTTGCTGTTGTTGAGTTAGTTCATCAGTTAGTTGTTGCTTAGTTTGTTCACTTTTTTGTAGGTTAACTTGTAATTGGGCAATAGTTTCCAAGTTAGTTTGGTTAGTTGTTTGACTTTCTTTTAAAAGTGTTTCTAAACGAGCTTGGGTAGTTTGAAATTCGGTCTTAATTTGTTCTAATTGTTCGTCTTTATTGGCTAATTGTTGCCGGAGTTCATTTAATTCCGCTTCTTTGGCTTCTAATTGCTCTTGAATTTCTTTTAAGTTATCTTCTTTTTGCTTTAATTGAGCTTTTAAAGCTTGGATTTGTTCTTTATTTCGCTCTTCGGATTCGTTTTTGGCTTGTTTTTCCTTTTGGATTTCGTTTTGGAGTTGAGAAACTTGGCTGGTTAGGGTAGTTTTTTCATTCGCTAGGGATTGTTTTTCGCTATTTAACTGAATAATGTTTTGCTCTAATTCGGTTTTTTCTCTTTCTAAGTTAGTTTTAGTTTGCGATAAAGAATTAAGGTTAGTTTCGGCGTTTTCTAACCGAAATTCGGTGTGAATTAGTTGCTCTTTAGTGTCCATTAACTGAGCTTCAATTCCGGTTAATTGTCGGGCTTTTCTTTGGGCAGTCCTTAATTGCTCTTTAAGATTAGTGATTTCTTGTCGCAAAGTAGCCGTAGAAGTGCTAGTTTCATCTCGTTGTCTTTGTAGTTCAGTTTCTTTTTGGCG